TGTGATCCATCCATACATAGCCGGTCAATCTCCTCTACTTGCATCCACAATCAGATAGTACAAAATTCAATAATTACACATCATGCTTCCTGTAGTCTATATAACAATCTTAATTGCCCGGGCACGGTCCCGGGAACTGTCCTAATCACGCATCCGATATATCCTACTGTCTGAATCTGGCGTGGCCGAGCCGAGTGGATCATGACGTTTCCGCCTAAACAACGAGATACTGTCAGGCACCAGCACGCTACGGTCTTATCCTCTGAAGCTCTGCGTGCCAAACCAATTCGAGAAATGGACCGAGGGTGGGCAGTCCAGTGATCATCATGGATGATGACGTGTGCTAGCTCGCTACATGGTCGGCCAGAACGGCATGTAGCGCAGCCAAGCCGGCGGTTCGCCTGCCGACGTAGGCGCCTCCCCGGCGTTCCTGACACCGCTTGCTCCGGCAGAGGAGCAGGAGGACGAGGAGGTCTGGACGGCGGCCGAGGAGGACCTGGGGCACAGGAAGAAGCTCCGGGACCCTAGCTCCATCACCTTCTCCCTCGGGTCCAAACCTGACCAATGAGTCCACAACATTTACATGATCAGTGAATGATCCTTCACTTGCTGAATGATGCAGATGATGCTCACTAACTGTCGCCTAAAGATTAATGGTTGTTGCGACCGACTTGACACTCTCAGTGGGCCCATGCATCGCTTGCTGAATATGTTCAGGGGTTTTGTGAGGAAACAAATGATCTGCTTCATCTCGCCGGCTATTCTCAAATAGAGTTCGTGCCGGCATATCGCCAGCTTGGCTAATACTAGTATTTTGTGTAATTGTGTTGACTTTCCACTTTGATAGTTGTGCGGTGCAATTCTGGAATGAAAAACAGATGGTACCGTGGGCTTCAGATGCAACAGACTTACTTTCCAAGCTGAACTGGGAGTAGTGTAGGCCGAAGGTCGACGGGTCGGTCGCCGGCAGCAAGGGCCGCCTGCCCTCCTTCACGTAAATCCCCACGGCGGCGGCCACAAGGTCCGCCACGCTCCAGTCCGCCGACGCCATGACGTGCAGCGGCCACAGGCTCCTCTGCACGGTCACGTTCACCAGCACCTTGCCCGGCGTCCTCCGGACCGCCAGCTCGGCCAGCGGCTCGCCGCCGTCCGCGGCGCGGAAGCTCCTGCCCCTCACGCCGGCGAGCAGGTCCGGCTGCGTCTTGGGCCTCTGCTTTGGCAGCTGGTGCCGCTGCTCCGCCCCGCGCCCGTGGAACGACGACCACCGCTGCCCCGGGCCTCGCAGCAGCTGCCCTCCTGCCTCCTGTCTTTGCCGGTCGCCGGAGCAGCTCTTCTCGAAGGAAGGCGCGTGAGGAGGCATCGCCCGTGCTGGCGGTGACCCGCAGGCGCTGCCGCAGAAACAGCTCCAGACACCCGGGCGATCAGACGGCGCGCGCAAGGATCACGGCTGCCGGCGGCAAGGTGCACGGGAGCCGGACGGCGAGGTTGTCCATGCAGAGCAGAGCATGCAGTATGCAGGTGCAGCTGGTCCTATGGCCATATAAGAGCCAGCCGAGACGAAGGCGAAGCAGGGCACAATTAAAGCAAGGAGAACCGAATTTTCAAAGGTGAGAAGCACGATCAAAGCCAGAAGCAACTGGGAAGTGACTTGTACCGGAGAGAAGGTGAGATGAGAACGGCACGGCAGACATATACACATGGAATCATTGTAACTATTGGTGATTGGCTTGTCAATTATTGGAGCACGATTGCCTCTCCTCCACAAATTAAGTACTATGTTTATATTTATTTATTAAGGTCGCCACTAAGGGCAAAATACTCTTACATAACTCAAAATAAATTTGGTGATTACAAAGTCATGCCCATTTGATTTCTATTGCATTGAATTTGCGCGAAACAAAACCCTTGAACTTGCAAGATTCAAGCTTACAACGAGGAGCATATGGATAGAGGACTTCACTTGGACTTGGAGTAGGCGGAGGGTCAAGTGGTGGGGTTGAACACATGCGCAAGGATCAAGTATGAATGGTGATACTTTTTTTTTGCTAAGTCCTAGAGATCAAACTCCAAAATCACGCAAAACATCGCAACCATTTTCCACTATCTATAACTCCATTTCTACTATTCGGAGCCACCTAGCCAAATCCATTTGGATCCTCTGATCCATTCCAGAGATAGTCGTTGCGATACTATATCAAGGTGGGAAGTAGGATATGGTGAGGAAGAAAGAGAAAAAAGGGCCACAATGCTATCGTTGTAGGAACTGGGGACACATAAGGAAGAACTGTCGAACATGGAGGAATATCGAGGGAACCAAATTGTGCCAGTGTCCTCTACGAGAAGTTATTCAGATGGCTGCCTTCTTACCCTATCAAGTGGGTTA